AATTCAAACCTCGAGCTGCAATACTTAAGAATGCTTTGGGCAGAATATTGAGTGATCCTGCAAGTATTAAAAGAAGATGGAAAGAGTATACAGAGTCATTATGCCAAAAGGAATTGGCAGACACAGAAGAATTTAATGAAACAACATATGAGCAAGAGCCTATGGTGATGAGGGAAGAAGTTCAGTCTGCTTTGAAAGAATTGGCTAAGAATAAGGCCCCGGGAATTGATGGTATACCAATTAACATATTCCAACTAACAGATGCTGCCCTAAATGTGCTCACCAAATTATGCCAAGAAATCTGGAGAACAATCACTTGGCCAACTGACTGGAAGAGATCTATATTTGTTTCCATTCCAAAGAAAGGCGATCCCACAGAGTGTGGAAATTATTGAACAATATCATTAGTATCACATGCAAGCAAGATTTTGCTTACTATTACCCAAAAATGACTGGAGCAGCACATCAACAGAAAACTACCAGAAGTGCAGGCTAGGTTTAGACGGGGCCGTAGTACTAGGGATATTGTAGCTAATGTTAGATGGATCTTGGCTAAAAGCAAGGAGTACCAAAGAATGTCCATCTTTGTTTCATTGTACAAAGGCATTTGACTGTGTGGATTGTAACAAACTGTGGCTAACTCTGAGAAGAATGGGAATCAGAGAATAAATACTTGATTGTGCTAATGTGAAATCTATACTTGGACAAGGAGGCAGTCATCAGAACAGAGCAAAGAAACAATACATGGTTCAAAATTGGGAAGGGTGTATGCCAGGTCTATATCCTATCTCCATACCTTTTCAATCTTTATGCAGAACAGGTTATCTGGGAGGCGGGGCTCTATGAGGAGAACTGTGGCCTCAGAATTGGAGGAAGAATCATCAACAATCTGCATTATGCAGATGACATAACCCTGCTTGCTGAAACTGAGGAGGACCTGAAGCACTTACTGTGGAAGGTCAGGGACTGCAGTCTTCACTATGAATTGAGACTCAATATCAAGAAAACAAAGATTCTCACCACTGGGCCGATTGGCAACATCATAGTGGATGGTGAAGAGATTGAGATTGTTCATAGATTTGGTTTGCTTGGCTCCACATTCAACACTCTTGGCGCCAGCATCCAGGAAATGAAAAGACATACTGCGATGGGAAAGTCTGTGGTTAGAGACCTCTCTCTAAAGTGCTGAAGTGCAAGGATGTCAGTCTGGAAACTAAGGTGTGCCTGATATATGCCATGGTCTTTGCAATAACTTGAATCAGAGAGTTGGACAATGACTAGGGAGATAGAAGGAGAATTGATGCCTTTCAGCTGTGATGCTGGAGAAGAGTATTGAATATACCATGGACTTTTGGGAAAACAAACTGGTTTGTTCTGGAGAGGGTGAAGCTGGGCTGCTCCTTGGAGGCAAGGATTCTGAAGCTTCGTCTGACATACTTTGGACATGTTGTAAGGAGGGACTAGTCCTTGGAGAGGGACATCATGCTTGGGAGGGTAAAGGGACAGCACAGGAGAGGAAAACCCTCAATGAGATGGACTGATTCAGTGACTGGGGTAATGGGGGTGGGTGGGTTGGAGATGGTGAGATTGGGACAGGATAGGGATGATTGGGATAGAAAGAGCTGTTGTACATAGGGCTGCTATGAGTTGCAGGTGACTCAACGGCACATAACAACAACAAAAATAATCACTAATATCACTTGTAAGCAAGATCCTGCTGAAGATTATAAAAAATACGACTGGAATCAGGGTTTTCTGCATCGGCAGAAAACTGCCAGATCTGCAGACTGGGTTTAGGAGAAGCTGTGGTACAAGAGACATCAGAGAATGCTACATGGATCTTGGCTGAAAGCAAAGCTACCAGAGGATTTGTCTGTGTTTCATTCACTATACTTTCACTATACAAAAACATTTGACTGTATGGGTCACAACAAACTGTGGCTAACCTTGAAAAGAATGGGAATCCCAGAACACATAATTATGCTCATAAGAAACCTATACTTGGAACAGGAGGCAGTCATCAGAACAGAGCAAGGGAACACTGCATGGTTCAGGATCGGGAAAGATGTGCATCAAGGATGCACCTTATGTCCATTGTTTTTCAATCTATATGCAGATCAGATCATTCAGGAGCCTGGACTTTCTGAGGAGCAATGTGGCATCAGGAATGGAGGAAGACTCATCAACAACCTATGATATGCAGATGGCACAACCTTGCCTGCTGAAACTGAGGAGGACCTGAAGTGCTTGCTGCAGATGCTCAAGGACTGTAGTCATGGTTCAAAGCTCAACATCAAGAAAACAAAGATTTTAGGGGAGCTCTGGTGGCCTAATGGCAAGAAGCTGCAACTACAATCCCAGAGGTGCACGGTTCGAATCCACCAGATGCTCTGCTGGGGAAGGAGGGGCAATCTCCTCCAGTACCAGTCAGATCTGATTTGACAGTACATGCACACAAAAATAATAAAATTAAAAAAATTAAAAAAAAAACCAAAGATTTTAACCGCTGGGCCCATTAGCAGCTTTAATTGGCAGACAGATAGATGGAGAAGAGAATGAAATTGTTAGCTATTTCAGCTTGTTTGGTTCCACAATCAACACTCTTGGTACATTCTTGGTCAGTAAACAAAACAAAACAAAACACAAAAACAAACTTGCATTGGAAAAGTCTGCTCTCAGGGACTGCCCTAGAGTACTGAAGAGCTAAGAAGTAAGTCTGGAGACTAAGGTGTACCTGATACATGTTATGGCCTTTGCACTTACTTGCTGTGCATCAGAGCTGCAAAGAGTGTTGAACATATCGTGGACTGCCAGAACCAATAGGTTAGTCCCGGAGAGGGTGAAACCATGTTTCTCCTCAGAGGCAATGATGTTAAAACTGCATCTCACATACTTTGGGCATGTGGCCTGGAGGAACCAGTCCATGGAGAGGGACATCATGCTTGGAAGGGTGGAGGGACAGCACAGGAAAGGAAGACCCACAATGAGATGGATTGACCCAGTGATTAGAGAAATGGGTCTGGGTCTGTCAGAGACAATGAGATTGGCTCAGGATAGAGCAGGGTTCAGAGCTTCTGTACATACGGTCTTATGAGTCTGAGTCGTAGGCAACTCAACAAGTGCATAACAACAACAAGGACGCTCTGGTGGCCTAGTGGTAGGAAGCTGAACTGCATTCCCAAAACCAGGCCGATCGAATTCATCAGCTTCTCCACAGGAGACAGATGAGGAATTTCCTCCCTTACAATTAACTGACTCTGAAAACACGTTGGAGGGTCAGCTATGGATCGGTTCCAACTGGACAGCACACAACAAGAAGAAATGTTAAGAAGCTGTGCTGCAATCCCAAAGGCACAGGGTTCAAATCCACTAGCTGCTCTGCAGGAGATTGTGAGCATTCTCCTCCAATACAAACTACTGCTTGTGAAAACCCACTGGAGAGTCAGCTATGGGTCTATTCTGACTGGATGGCACACAACAAGCATCCCCACCACCACAGTAGAAGTGGCCTGGTAGGTAAGGTGCTGCACTACCAGCCCAAATGCAAGTGGCTCAAACCCACCAGCTGCTGCACAGGAGGATAGGCAATCTCTTCCCAAGTGATTTATAGTTTCCAAAAACCCGCTGGCAGGTCAGTTAGGAGTTGCTTCTGACTTGATGGCAAGTAACTTCCAGCTGTACCACAGTTAAAAAATACAACTTTTAAATAAAATTTTTAACTTTAAAAAAAGACATATATTTACATAATATCCATGCCACATATCAGAGTGAATTTGATTTTTTTTCATTATAAAGATGGAATTGAGGGGATTGTGTGGCTGAACAGAAGCAACTCCATTTCATCGGACTTACACTATGCTCCTCCTCCCTCCGAGACAAGCAAGCCAGCCAGATGTGGCCCCTTCCTCCTGACAGGAAAGCTTATCAGACTTAAGAAGGAAGCCGAGATCTCTACAGGAGACCTGAAGATGCTTATGTCTCGGAGGGAAAAATTCCAGGACACAACTGCTGAACCACAATAACCAAGACATGTCCCCTGCCCAGCAATCCACGGCCACAATAATAAATACTCAATCTTCCCCTCTGCTCATTGGAAGACTGAGGCTGCATTGAAAGCCTCCCCCTACTTTCACTGAGGCAAAATACTAAATACTCATTTGCTGTATACTCTCAGTTCTGGCTGGTTTTTCGTTTGTTTTTAATTTAGCAGTCTGAGGGACCTTTCAGGGTTTAAAAAATAAGGGTGAAGCTTTTAGTTTATCTATTCAGGAGGATAGAAGGAGAATTGATGCCTTTGAGCTGTGGTGCTGGAGAAGAGTATTGAGAATACCATGGACTGCTAGGAAAACAGATTTGTCCTGGAAAGGGTTAAACCGGGTGGCTCCTTGGAGGCAAGGATTCTGAGGCTCCGTCTAACATACTTTGGACATGTTGTGAGGAGAGACCGGTCCTTGGAGAGGGACATCATGCTTGGGAGGGTGGAGGGACAGTGCAGGAGAGGAAGGCCCTCTATGAGGTGGATTGATTCAGTGACTGGGATAATTGGGATGGGAGTGTCAGAGACAGTGCGATTGGCACAGGACAGAGCGGAGTTTAGGGCTGTTGTACATAGGGTCGCTATGAGTCGCAAGCGACTCGACAGCACATAACAACAACAACAATTATAACGAAAGACTCGTTTTGGTTTGGGGGTGCTTTTCCCCCCTCTCTTCTAAACTGTATATATCTTGATAAGATATGGGGCATCTTTAATGACCTAGTGATAAGAAGCTATGCTGCAATCTTAAAGGCATGAGGTTCAAATCCACCAGCTACTCCATGGGAGAAGGATGGATGATCTACTCCCATGTGATCTACTGCCTTTAAAAACCCGCTGGGAAGTGAGCTATTGGCCAGTTCCCACTGGACGTAACCTCCCTGAACAACAGACTATCATGCAATTGTTAGGTAGAGAGATAATGTAAAATGGATGAAGGCGATGGAGAGTGGAGGCCTCCTACCTGAGCACGGCATTCCTGCCGTCACTCCGTGTGCACCACACCTGTCGGGTCTGGTGGCCAGTCTCTAGGTCCCAGGGTGTGGGGTGCGGATGGGACTTGTGTCTGAAAGGGGCTCGCTCTTTTGAGTCGGAGCTAAAATCCAGGGCCGTTCTTCCGCTGAGGTTCAGGTCTTTCCAATGAGGTAACCTGCATCGACTCCAGGGGCCCACCTTGAGCCTGAAGGTGTGCTCCTCCTCCCCTCGGGGACAGGAGGCAGGTGCTTCGCAGGTGCGAGCCTCCGTAAGGTTTGGACACGGCAGGCCTCCATAGAGCGCGGGTGCCATGGCCACGCGCGTCCTGTGCTGCAGGTGCTTGCCGCAGCCCGCGGGACACGGGGACCAGGTGGAGAACTCGGACACCACACAGTCTCGGGGGCACGGGATGAGGCAGGCTTGTTCCGTGGGGGGCCGAGGGGCAAAGTGTTGGCAGATGTCGCCGGCGGCCTGGGTGCCGTTGAGCGCGTGTACGCAGCGCGCCGCGCGGTGCTGGAGGCCGTGCTGCGCCGTCACGCAGGCCTGGGGCCGAGGCCGGGCCTCCCCGGGCGCCAACGGGGCGAGCGCGCAGCGCTGCCAGGCCGACACCTCCCACCGGTAGAGGGCGCCGTGCCAGTCGCACACGCGGAAACAGCTCCGCTCCGCCGCCGGTTTGCCGCCATCCTCGCAGCTGGCCGGGTGGCTGGTCCACCCGTCCACGTGGAAGCACCACACCGCGCGGCTCTGGACGCCGCCCGGCCCGCAGTCGCCCGCACAGCGTCCCCAGGGCCCTAGAGGCAGAAAACAAACGTGTCAGTAACTCAGCCAGGACAGGCTGCAATTTCCTGGAGATCAAGCGTCACTTAACACTTCCAACACAACCAGGATGAATTTATAAGCTTGCCCTGTAACAGAGACAAGCTAGTGTTTAACAGCGTCTATCCAAAGTCAGTTTACCTTTGGTTGAAATCCTACATCAGTCTCCTACCAGCGTGGTAAACTTGAACAAATTAATTTCATTTTCTGTGCCGGCATCTTTACATTTGCAAGGTAGTAGATCATAAAAGCACTGGTTTATAGACTTAATCTGAGGATCAGTGTTATAATGTGGTGCCTGGGAGACAATGCACATTTAATAAATGGTAGGGATCGACAATTATTATCTTCTAAAGCCTGTATATCTAACATGAAATTAATACTTTGTAGTTAGGTGTGTTTCATCGAAAAGAAAAGCCCTAAATCCAGGATTCTAATAAAGTTGGATTTTTCTTGTTTGCAACCCTTCAGCTTTGTTAAGCAATACTGAAATACATAGTCCTTGGGTTACTTAGCCTTACAACTCAAGGACAATTCCTACTTGCCCTTTTGTAGTATGTGAAATTGCCCTCACTTTGAAATGATAGAACCAACCCCTATTAGAACACCGATTCTGGATCACAGTAACTTTAATTTCCTTGGTGCACTCACAGCCTTTTTTTACATTGAAAAGACTTCACCCCTTTCTTGCACTAATGTTAGACTAGATAAAAACTACATGTACCTATTCCAATGTACTTGGAAATTTGACTTAAAATACATTTAGGAATGGGCGGTTTGGGGGGACGGG